AGTCCGTATTCCACTCACTTTGTTCTCCGCCTTTGTCCTAATCCACACCAGCAGGTGGAGCCGCAGTTAAAGTTTCCGAGTCCATTCCGGGAGCGGGAGCCCATCTTGCTCGTTGCCGAGGCCCTTGCTGGAGGAGGAGGGTCAGAGCTCGGGTGCAGCCAATCGCGGCCAACGCTGGTAGTTATCAGAGCAGAATGGGCTGTAGTTTAGTGAAATAGGAAAGCTGCAAAAACACTGTGGAGTGCTCCGGTGTAAATAAAAAGAGGGGAAAAAAAGTTTCTTAAGTCGTCACTGCACGACGTCTGGCCGGCGCCGGGGCGGGGGTCTACGCTCTCCCGAGCGGCCGCGCGCTGGACTTTATTGTGCCGCAACAAGCCCCCGTCCCCATTGTTTGTTTTTCAAAATATGGCAAAGGTTCAGGTGAACAATGTAGTGGTGCTGGATAATCCTTCTCCTTTCTATAACCCGTTCCAGTTCGAGATCACGTTTGAGTGCATCGAGGACCTGTCTGAAGGTGAGTAGCGGCGCCCGGCGTCCTCCCGGGCTGTCAGGTGCGGGCTGCAGACGTTGAAAGTTTCCCGGGCCCTGCCTTGCGCGGGCCGGCGGCTGCGGGCTCGGCTTTGCGGAGGGAAACTTGAAGTTGATGGACGACTGCCGCCGGGGCGCGCGCGGCGTTCGGCCGCAGCCCAGGCGGCTGCCGCGGGGACTCAAGTTGCGAGGAACTTGTTCGAGCGGAGGTAGCCATGTTGTCAGCTTTGTCTGGCGTGCGGGCGGTTAGCGAGACCCGCACTCGAGCCCGCGGCGGCGCCGGGCGCGAGGCGCGCCGGGCGGACCCCGCGCCACGAGCGGCTGCCGCGACCCCCGTGGCTCCGGAGACGAGGCGGGGGAAAGCGAGACGTGTGTGTGTGGCGGTGCCGGCGAGTTAAGAGCGGAGCCATCTTACCGGGAGTGGAGAATTGGGCTACAGACCCGGCGTCACGGCGCCTCCCCCCAGACCTCCAGCCGCGGAGTTGCAAGCCCGCGCCGCTCTTATCCACCTTCCTGCCCCCGGAGTGAATGGCAAATCCCTTTTGCGAGCTTACGGTGGAGTTGCCCTACTCTCCAGGGTGGCCATGCCCGGCCGCCTCGGGGAGGAGAGCAAGGCTCTTCTCGCGCTGGTTTCTGGCTCCCTTGACCAACCAGCGGGAGAGGCGGGCGCAGGCTCGGCCCCTCTGCACCTCGGGTCGGGCGCCGACGCTCCCCGGGGATCACGGGCCCGACCCGGCAGCTCTGGGCGCGCGAGGATGCGGACGCGCAGGCTCGCACTGACCAACGTGGATCCTTTTCCTTAATGACTAAAATAATCTTTCCTGTCTGTCAGGAAGAAAAAAATGTTTCCAAGCTAGAAAGTTACATTTAACCCAAGAGCAGAAATAAGTAAAATATTTAAATTTCCAGGACTTAACAACACTGGCGTCTAAATAGAGACGATTTGCTTCAAGAACATGGTTGAAATCTAACAAAAATAACTCCACATCCAAACTGATACAGAATACACTCTAAACTTAAAACACAAAAGTAAACTTGAACTAAAAGGTATAAAGTACTGATGGTAATGCAAAAAAAGGTTACTAATTTTTCAAAGTACGTTTAAGGACTTTGAGCAGTAATAAAATATTCTGAAAGTGTAAACTTGCCAGAGTCTTACCTTTGCTTACTTACATTTTAGTAAATTATTTGTTTTGTTTTCAAAATATAGGGGATAAAAGTTGAACTTCATCAATGCTACTAGTTTTACAACTAAGCAGGGGCTTGCTTCTTTGAACTTGCATGCATTCCCCCCCCCCAACGTTCATTTAAAATAATTATGCTAAGCATGGCAAAGCGTTACTTTGTAAATTCGTTTTTAATCCCTATGACTTGTATTTTACATAGGGTGTTAACTTTATAAATGGATTTGGTCATTGTAATATTTAAAAAGTGTACAGACACATATAATAGTTCTCTAACTCATTACTTTCCCCCATCTCACTTCTTCAGGTAACCACAATTACCACTTTAATGTGCCCTTCCATCCAGTTTAAAAATACATACATAGCATGTTAAGCATATTCTGAAACATCTATTAACCTACTCGCAAAATTGATCCTAAAATTAAAGGGTGTTTTTCTTATTTGGAAGCCACTTGATTATTCTCCCATAGTACAACTATGAGCATTTCAGATAGCAGGCCCATTTTTCATTCCCAGCAGCCACTTTTCCTTTTTTTTTATTGCCAACTGTATAAAAATCAAGCAGTGTAAGAGAAACCATAGATCTGTCTATTCCAATTTACACTATGGTCCTTTAGGCATTTGAAGCTCAAATTAACAGTTGTTTCTCAAGTGATGCCATCCATCTTAGAAGTCAACTCTGACCAAGGAAGAAGGCTCAGGATGCTGTAATAGAGGTATCGCATTGGATGGTGGAAACCTGCCATTCATGGAAGCCAACATATGTTTTCCATCTTTAATTGGGAACTCAGCTGAAGTCACACTAAGGGTTTTTACAATACCTGTCAAGAATATACCTAGTTTCACTTTTACACACTTCATAGGATATGATTACTGGACATGTATTTAATAATTTTTTAAAAAGAATTTAAGCTGAGTCATACCGAGAAATCCTTCAAAGAAGTACTATGCCTGTGTACTCCACCTAGAGGCTGTGTGGCTTAAGAAAATTGAGTTTAGCTTTCCTTTAACAGCTCCCTTTTAGCTATTCTTCAGAAAATGTCATGTATTTGTTCATATGTTCTTAAGATAATTTTGTTGTATCAGGATTATCCGCTGCCATCAAGTCAGTTCTGACTCACAGTGACCCTATAGGACAGTTTCCAAGGCTGACAGCTTTAAGAAAGCTGACTAACTCATCTTCTTCCAGAGCTGACTTGTGGGTTTGAACCTCTGACCTTCTGGTTAGCAGCCTAATGCTTAATCCGCTATACCATCAAGGCTCCTTATATCAGGTGGTGGTTGTTATCAAGCTGGTTCCAACTCAGCGATCCTATATAGGGTTTCCAAGGAACCGCTGGTGGGTTTGAACTACTGACTTTATGGTTATCAGTCCAGTGCTTAGCTTACAGTGCCATACCAGGAGTCCATATATCAGGATTAGGACAGTCTTAAAAATTCAAAGTTGATGAATTAGACAAAGACTTTCCTCTCAGTCTGGAAGTTGGAACCCTGTATATCTTTGTCCCCGTGGTGATCAAACTTGTACAAGTTTTGACTTGCCTTCATATCAATTTTATTTGGCCTTCTGTGGATTGCTTATGCTCTGTCTCAATACTGAATAAAAGAACCAAAATCCAAACCCGCCACCAGCAAGTCTGTTCTAACTTATAGCAACCCTATATAGAATTTTCTGAGACTGTAAATCTTTTGGGGAGCAATCTCATCTGTTTCCTGCGGAGCAGCTTGTGGTTTGAACTACCAAGCTTGTGGTTAGCAGGCCAACAACGCCTAATACACAGTGCCACGGAGCTCCTTTCTATGTTGAATGGAGCCATATTTTTAGTTCATCACTATCAGTAATAATAGCTACTGTTAGTGGAATACTTAAAAGTGTTTCACACTTTCAAACTTCTGGCTTAGTTGGAGTCTAAGGACTTTATGCTTTCTACTGGACCAAAAGTCTTCCCAAGTAGTATAATCAGTTTAAAATACTTTTGGTAACTTCTCTCACGCACTCTCACCACAAAGGAGAAGATCATTTTATGCAAGAATGGAGTCCGTTTTGACTCATAGTGACCATGTATAAAGTTTCCAAGGCTTTAAATCTTTTGTGGAAGCAGAAAGCCTCATCTGTCTCACAGAGCAGCTGGTGAGCTAGAGCTGCTGACCTTGTAGCTCACAACCCAGTGCTTATCCTGTGAAGCCACTGTGTTCCCTAAACAATGATAACCATAATTTCAAAATTGGATAATTTTTATGGAAATAAATAAATTTCTTTAACTGATAACCTGTGTAAAGTAACCATGTCTTTCTCCCCTTCAAACAGTATAGCAGTGGAAATGTACTTTGGAAGCACTGTTTATAAAACAACTGATGCTAATTTATAAATACTGAGCATTTAAGACTCAGTGGTTCCAGCAAGGATCTCAGGCATAAAAACAAGTATACAGGTGGTTTTCCAAATGACAGCCCATCATGCTTTTGAAGGCTAGAGTATCTTGCCACGACTTATACCTTCATTCACGCCCTCCCTACTCCTGTGATTAAGTTCACTTACTCCACTATTAATTTGAGTGCTAGAAAGGGAAGAATTGATACTCCTAGTTTTTGTTTTGTTTTTAAAGAATCCAGACTTTGTTACTGCAGAGTTAGGTTCTGATTCTTCAGTTTACTAGCTGTGTGATTTTGGATATATAACTTACCCTCTCAGAGCCTTAGCTCTCTTCTCTGCATAATAGGAAAAAATAAACTAATATAAAAGCTGTTGAGATTTAAACAGTATGTATGAAGTAGCAAAACCAATGACTGGTATCTGTTGTTAAGTGCCACAGAGTTGGTTCTGACTCATAGAGACCCTACATACAACAGGAATGAAACCCTGCCCGGTTACCTGGTACACAGTTGTTAAAGTGCCATCGAGTTTGTTGTAACTCATAGTGACAGAGTTTCAGAGGTTATAAATCTTTGATGGATCAGAAAGCCTCATCTTTCTCCTGTGGAGCAGCTAGTGGGCTTAAACCGTCAACTCTGTGGTTCACTATAATCCATTTTTATCCTGCAAAGCCACTGTGTTCCCTGGTATGTAGTAGATGTTTTAAAAAGTACATTTATATGTTAAGTGTCGGAGGGTCTGTTCCGACTCATAGTGACTCTGTATAGGATTTCTGAGGCTTTAAATCTTGCAGTAATAGAAAGCCTCATCTTTTTCCTGTGAGTGGCTGGTGGGCTCGAACCATGACCTTTGTGGTTTGCAATCCAGTGCTTATTCTGTGGAGCCACACATAAAACGGTATTGCTGTTGTAGTCCTGGTGTGGCGCTACAGGATAAGCACCGGACCGCAAAGTTGATGGTTGAAACTCACCAGCCACTCCTCAGAAATCCTATACAGGGCTGCTATGAATCAGAATTGATTCAACAACATTAGGTAGGGTTCTAGTTCATACATACATGGGTTTTCAACATGACTTTGCTATCCATGGATGACTTTAGATAAGTTCTCTCCATTATACATTTGTGCTAATTTCCTTAGGGTGCCTTCCGAAAAAAAAAAAAGGTCTCAGTGAAGTAGTGGCTTCTGAGGGGATCTGTTGGGGCCTGTTCAACTCAAGGCAGAGAAGTCAGCTCAGATTGTTATGGTGACTGGGTTTTGGTTTTGTTTTTACTTCAAAGCGGTAGGTAGTCTTACTAGATTTTATCAAATGACACAGGACAATCACAGGGGTATATTATGAAGATGTTTTCTTTCTTTCTTCTATCACTACAATGCTCATTCTTAGAGGACAGCAAGGACTATCCTATGAGAAAGAATTTCACTGGGAAATTTTATCCCTGATCTCGCTCTGTCAGACTTGTTTCTGTTCTGCAAACTCAAAAGAACCATTTCAGAGGAACATAATTTGAGTCCTTCAAGGATGCTAAAACAGTAAATCAAAAAGTACAAAATTCATCAGGGAAGGGTTAAAGCGATGGAAACATAGACCTAGATGGAGAATATGTCAAGAAACAGTAGCTTCACACTTTGATGTTTTTGTTTAATAAAGGTTTTTATGATTTTGGACCAATACTTTCTTACTTACCCTTATTATATCATGGCTGGCTATGTTCTATGCCACATATGCCAAATTAACCTGTACCAATAGAATTTTCTGAAATCTCCATGTAACAATTTTCAGTCTTAACCTCCTTGACCAGTGTAGTAGATCAAGATTTATCACCATCTCCATGACTAAGGGTATATAGATTGGACTGTTGTGATCTAAACGGTTATCATTGGTTTATCATCAAAAGTAGATTGCCAGGCTTCCTTTTTAGTCCATTGTAATGTGAAAGAGCCACTGAAGCCTGTTTAGCATTTCTCAGATTTCTGCTGACAGGCTATGAATGGAGGTACACTGGCTGGGAATCGAACATGGGTCTACCTCATGAAAGGCTTGAGAAGTCTACTTCTGAACCACCAGTGCCTCACAACTACCTCACTGGTCTGGTCACTAGTTTTGTAAAATTCTTTACTGATTCTTTTTCATCCCTGCCCCTTTAACCCTTTCATAACTGAGTTATTTTCTGTTCTGAGATTTTTGTTGATTCTATGTGTTCTCAGTAATGGAAGACATTGCTGAAATCAAGGGAAAAAATAGTTTTGTGTGATAATACAGATTGGGACATTGGTGGGTAGGGTGCAGAGGTTTGTTCAGATTCACAGTTATATAGGCCCCTGCCGGATGGCAGCATATATCAAAACTGGGATTGCGTCCCAAGGCTAAAAATGTAGCTGGGTGATATATGTTCCATGGGTCACGAATGGGTTAGCGTTGGAGAGGCCCAGGACTCACTCCTTAGGAATCCCACCTATTTTCATGACTGTGCATATTACTATTTCCAATTTTTAGCAGACCTATCCAGTATTTCAGAAGCCCCTGTGTGGCGCAGGTGGGTTAATGTGCTGGTCTACAAAATTGGTCTGAACTGCAAGGTCGGTGGTTTAAGCTCACCAGCTGCTCTTTGCAAACCTTATGCAGGATCACTGTGAGTCAGGACCTACTCGACAGCACATAACAAGATTCAGTGTTTCACCATAGATATCTCAGACTTGTCCAAAACTAGTTCCTGATTGGTATTCCCCACAAAAAAAAAAAACAAACTAACTCCTGTCTTCTCCACTTCAGTAAATGGATACTCCATCCTTGTTGGCTACTTTTTATTACAGCCTATAAATTGTCAATAAATCCTCTTGTGTTTATCCTCAAACTTCATTAGAATGTGACTTCTTCATACTTCCAAGACTACTTATGAGGGGGCTTCAAAAAGTTCATGGGAAAATGGAATTGAAAGGTAATGGAATTTTTCTACAAACTTTTTGAAGCCCCCTCACACATGGTCTAAGCTATTATAATTTCTTGTCTCCGTTGAACTATCTTTCCTTTCTCTTCCTTTGCCTTCTTACACTCTATACTGAACTTTAAAAATGAAGTCAGAATAGTTTCCCCTGCCACTCAGTATGAAAGCCAAAGCCCTTACGACCCTGCAGAGCTTTACATGATCTGCCCATGTCTCACTCATCCTCAATCTCATGGTTGATACTTTGCTCCTGCTCAGTTACCTCCAGCTACCCTGGCCTCCTTGCTTTCTCTTGAATGTGCCAAGCATGCTCCTATCTCTAACTGGATATTCATATGGCTTGCTTCCTCGTACACTTGTCTTCATCAACAAGTAAGTATAGGGTCTTGTGCCAGGTGCAGGACCCTGTATTTGGAAATGTGCTAGAAGGAAGCTGAAAGAAACTAGGGTTCTCGGTCTAGGACCATGTTCTTGGTCAAGGACTGACTTAATAAACTAAAGTGTAAGTTTAAAAAAACTTCAGTTCAATAACTTAATTTATATTATAATATAAATAGGAAATCGTTCCTACACTATTTATTTAGGGAACAAAATGAAATGATACTACACAGTGAGATTAACTGGGTTTTCAATAAGTGACCTAGAAAGTCTGTTTGGAAGTGCTTGAGTAATCTTGGTACACTGAGTTCAAGAGGCAGGACACAAATAAATAGCCCAAGAGGATGTGGAGGTCTCTCAAGGTAAGCTGTGTTTGTAGATTATCTTGTTTCCATACAAAAGTAGGCTCCTTCAAATAGGATGATTTTACTCATCTCTGGTATCTTAATAGCATGTTATAGAAGGTTCTCAATAAAATCTATTAGATAAATTACGCATAATGTCTTGGGCTGGTGTATTCTTCCTCTCATCTATTCCCACTGTATCTACTTACTGAGTCAAGAAAATTCAGCAGCAGGATCCTTGGTGGCACAAACAGTTAAGTGCATGGCTACTAACCAAAAGTCTGGCAGTTAGAAGCCACCAGAGGCCCTCTGGAAAGAAGGCTTTGTGATCTACCTAAAGATCATAACCATTAAAACCCTATGGAGCACAATTCTACTTCGACACATGGCTTGGAATCAACTGATGGCAACTTTTGTTCTTTTAAAGCATCTTGGAGTGCCTATTCTCAATTTAAAGAATGACAGGAGGGGTTACCATGAAGGAAAAACCCAACTAGTCTTCTCTTAGCAGTTGATGAGCTAAAGTTCTTTACTTCTAAGCCACAAGGGAAGTTTATTAATAATAAATTGTATATTTCAGAGTCCTTTTATTATTTGGATCCATGTAATGATAAACTACAGGGTAGTATAGGTTACCCACTGATAGCATGTCAATTCAGACTCAGCAATTCTATAGGACAGAGTTAGAATTGACACATACAGTTTCTAAGTCTGTAAAGTAGGTTTTAAAAGATAACTATAAAAGACTGGGGAGGAGGGTATCACAGCCACATAAATTTAGAAAATACTGAATTAATTGTATGGATGTTCTTTAAGGAACACTTGGAGTGCATGGCTAAGTGATCAGCTGCTAACCCAGAGACCGTTGGCAATTTGAACCTACCAGCTGTTCTGCTGGAGAAAGAAAGATGTGGCTGTCCGCTTCTGGAAAGACTGTCCTCCAGATCACTATGAGTTAGAATCAGCTTGATGGCAGTGGATTTTTACTTGGATGATTACTGAAGGATGTTTCACAACTATTGTGTTTTAAACATCTTAAATACTAGGTTGTAGCATTTCCCAACTTTTTGATCACATTGTCTTGTTTGGGAAGGGTTAGGGTTAGTATCAAGGTTCCACCAAAAAGCATTTTTGAAAAACTCTGGTATGAAGTGTTAAGAATTTTTAAGGAGTAGTGCAGTGCCTTTCTGGATGTCCTGTTATCAGAAGCCAACTTTAGCAGCCAATATATGCTTGTTGTGGTTAAGTGCCGTCAAATTGGTTGCAACTCATAGCAGCCCTGAATAGGTTTCTAAAGAGTGGCTGGTGGGTTGAACTGACAGTCTTGTGGTTAGCGTCCAGTGATTATCTTATAGTGCCACATCAAGACTTAGTGGACATTGAAAAAGGTCTTCGATGTCATCTGGTAATATAATTACTGAATATGAAATATGTGTTGGTTTTTAACCCTAGACCTGGAGTGGAAAATTATCTATGTGGGCTCTGCAGAAAGTGAAGAATACGATCAAGTTTTAGACTCTGTATTAGTGGGACCTGTTCCTGCAGGAAGGCATATGTTTGTATTTCAGGTAAGATTATTCTTGGTAAATATGTGTGCCAGATACATTTCTTCCCAAACAGCGTGTTACTCTTTCTGTTTGGGTTAAATAACCGTTTTTACTGCCTTCATTTACATCTGCTTTCATCACTTGACATATTTCTCATGAAGTAACTCCAGTTCCTGGTTTTGTATGCTGAGAAAGTCATGGAGATGTACCTACAGCATGTACTATCAGGATGCACCACAGCTAATTTGGGTTTCTTCCTGGAAATGGCCCCTGATTTTCCAATGGCCCCAAATCATGGATTTAAAATACTAGTTAAGTGTCACTGAGTCAGTTCTGATTCAGAGCAACCCTGTATAGGGTTTCCAAGGAGCAACTGGCGAGTTTGAACTGAAATAAATCATGTGCTCACTAGATAACACTGATAGTATTTAGTTTGTGTCAAGGTTTAGACACTGATCTGTATTCAAAAGTTTCATTTATTTTAATTCATATTAAATTGCTGTACACAACTATTTAATCACTTCTCAATTATCCATGCTTATTGTTGTGTTATTGTTAACAAGTATTTCTACCTAACAAAGTCAGATCATAAGGAGAACGCACTAAAGAGACTTAATAAAGCAAGGCCATCTAAGTCTCCCTATCCTTACTCCTTGTTTTCTCCCTTTACAGGGAAGACTGACATAAATGATAATCTCATCAGAAACTGGCACAGAGTCGCCCAAACATCTCTCAAGCTGCACCCTTTCTGCCCCCACTTTCTAAATAGAAGCTCAGGATCTTGGTGTCCTGCTTTAGTGCTCTCTATTAAAAAGGGAGAAATAATGTAGTGTATCTAAACAAATGGTTAAGAGAAGTTCAGCTCTAGTAAAATAGTCTTATGAGCCTGAGCCATGAGCACTGAGCGGAAGACACCTGGTTCCACCGCTTGGTAGCTATTAGCTGACTTTAGACAAACTCCTTAATCTCCTTTACTGACTGTGTTGTTGTAAAGTGCCTTCAAGTCGGTTCCGACTCATAGTGACCCTGTATAGGGTTTCCAAGGAGCAGGTAGTGAATTTGAACTGCTGACCTTGCAATCCAGAGCACTGTCCTACAGCGCCACACCAGGACTCCTTAGTTGTTCTAGTCATCTATAAAATGTGGATAATAGCCTACCTCATAGAAATGTTGAGGATTACATGAGGAATAAAGCAGTTAGCACAATCACTGACCATTAATAAGTATCCTGTTTCTATAATCTTAATTAAATTTTATTCTTTTTAGCCTCTTAGGACTGTTAAATAAAGAGCGGCATTAGTTTGAACCTACAAGCCCATACTTTACTAATAATAGTTCAAGGTGTAATGGGAAATATGGGTTGACACAGTGATTCACCTTTTATGCTCTTTGTGGCTCTGTAGGATACACACGACTGTTAACTGCAAGGTCGGTGGTTCAGACCCACCAGTTGTTCCTCCGAATCCCTATACAGACAGGGTCTCTATGAATTGGAAACTTGACAACATTTAACAACATTAAAAACTTATAAATATGTATATATTTGGTCCCAAATAGATGCCTTGATTTTAAAACAAAAGTCTTTCCTATGTAATTAGGGTGTTAAGAATACATCTGGGCCTTGGGCTTAGAGTGTTGTAAGAAAATATTTTATTCAAAAGTATTTTCTAATAATGATTTTCAAGTCCTGTTACTTTGGTATCAGTACACATGTTGTCAGAAGCACAGATGCTTTCTTTCGGTCATGTGTGCAGCCTGTACATTTTATAAAATTTCCCATTATCAACTGAGTAACCATAGGTGCTGCTCTTGTGCTTTTAAACACATTGCCTTACCATCCTATTGGTGTGCCATGATTTTGTCTAAGAGTAGTGAATGTGCCTTTCTCATGAACATGTCATACATGAGTAGGAAGACATCCTGGTATCCGCCTAATACGGCTGATCATAGTCTAAGGTCTCTGCCTCACACTTAGTTTTTCTACATGACCTAAGAGGCATGCAGAATTTGTTCAAGCTGAATCCTTTGGCACCCCAGAAGCAACCTAAACCTTCTAGGGAGGGGTACACACAGTACCCTAAGATAAAAAAGTCCTCTGTCTGCATCCTGGTATCTCCAGAGATCTTGAAGCCCTGCTAAAGGCAGGATTTGAGCTCTGAATAAACGGTATGCCTAAACTATGTGCCCAGAGCTGTGTAGACATGACATTACACAGATGGGATCCCTGCCTTGGATGGAGCTTTGAGTCTCGTAGGAAAATAGTAGAGTAAACATATTTGGGTTATTGAGGGTATAGTAATGATAGGATTTGTATCAAGAAAATAATAGCACACAAAAAAGGGAGCTGTTATTCTACTGAGTTAAAAAGAGCTTCACTGAGAAGAATGCATGTGATGCAGATTTCAAAAGATGACTTTTTAAAGATTTTAGAGAATGACTTTTCAGGCCATGGAGACTGTGTGTGAAGCACAAAGATGTGAAAGAATATCCCCACATTATAAAAACTTGTGTAATTCAGATGTCTTGAACAAGGGTGAGAAGTATGAAGTTAACTAAAAGGAGCTGTGAATGGAGATGTTACCTGGAGACAAATTGAGAAGAATGGAAATTTTATCCCTTAGAAATGGAGGTCACCATCTGAGGTGTTAGCTAGAGACTAGGAGACCAGTTAGAAAGTTTTAGCAGTATTTCAGATAAGACATGCAGACCTGAATTTAGTTTTCAAAGGTTGAGAAGTGTTGAGACTGACTAAATGTAGGGATCAAACACTGAGAGCAACAGAAGTGTTTTGCTTAAGCGACTAGGTTAGATATTTGGTTGTTTTGTTGTTAGGTGATGTTAAGTTGGCTCCAACTCATACTGACCCTATGCACTACAGACCAAAAACTGCCCAGTCCTGCGTCATCCTCACAGTTGTTAGGTTTGAGCCCATTGCTGTTGCCACTGTGCTAATGCATCTCATTGGGGGGGTCTTCCTCTTTTTCTTTGACTCTCCACTTGACCAAGCACAGTGTCCTTCTCCATATAACATGCCTAAAGTTTGAGAGACAAGGTCTCGCCATCCTGGCATCTAAGAAGGGTTTTGGCTGTACTTCCAACACAGATTTGTTTGTTGTTCTGGCAGTCCATGCATGACACTTTAAATATTCTTCTCCAGAACCATAACTCAACTGCATCAATTCCTCTACAGTCTTCTTTTTTCATTGTTCAACTTTCAAAGGCATATGAGGTTATTGAAAACACCACAGCTTGAGTCAGGTGCACAGTAGCCCTCAAAATTTTATCTTTGCTCTTGAACACTTTAACAAAGAGGTCTTATGCAGATTTGCCGAATGCAACATGTTGTTTTCTTTCTTGACTTCCATGAGTGTTGACAGTAGATCCAAGCACAATGAAGTCTATACATGGTGGTGGTGGTTATGTGCCATGGAGTGGATTCCGACTCATAGTGACCTGTACAGGGTTTCCGAGGCTGTAAATGTTTACAGAAGTAGAAAGCCTCATCTTTCTCCTGCAGAACAGCCAGTAGTTTTGAACTGCTGACCTTGATGTTAGCAGCCCAACTCGTAACCACTACACTACTAGAGCTCGTTTTTGTAGGCATACAATAAACATGGTCTTTAATGATAATGCCTGATTTGAGGTGCCAGGTTTAATGAAGGCACTGGCTAATGTGTTCACTCAGGTCCAGGGATGGTCCTTGGTGTCTTGACAACAGTAAACTAATTTGCTGGGACTTCGTCTGCTTATCACCTAGTATGGCTGCCTCAGGTCCAGTGCTTCAGACATGACTGTCCATCACTTCTCTAATCTCCTTCCAGTCACTCTCCTTGTCGTACACACTGCCTTGGGTGCATGCACTTAGGCTTCTCAAGCCTATTTGCTTCGCTTTCTGCTTTCCTTAGGGCTCAGTGTACACTACACCAGCTTGACTCAGAACAAGGTCTTTGATTGTGTCCACTTGAAACAGTCTTTACTGTCATTGAATTCATGTGGTTAAATAGTTTTAGTGCCTCCCAAAATGATTATTTCTAATAAAGGATTAGTAATATTTTTAAGTACTCACATGGTTATCTGAGGGTGAATTGGTGAGTATAAGGATATAACTGTTCTGGATAGAGAGGGAAACTGGTATATTACCATATTTCCTGCACAGAGCTCACACAAGAATAAGCACACAGAATGCGCATAGGAAATTAACTCACCAGGAGAGTTGCACAGGTTGCAAAAGCAGTATATTACTAATGTGCATACTATTTGCATAAAAATACAATAACATTTGCTGCCAACAAACAGTTTGGAGATATTTGAATATATACTCATTTAAGCCTGAAAACTATGACTCAATAAGGTTAAAGTCAATAAGACTTGATTCATTTATTACATTTTCAAAAGGTTTTATAATTGATTACTGCATAATTCCTCATGAACTCACCAGATAGTAATCAGAATGACTTCCCTCTAGTAGTATATTCTAGAAGTATTTTCAGTCACTTCATGTGTGTGTGAAAGCTATACACTGAATAAAGAAGACCAAAGGCCTGATGCCTTTGGATTATGGTGCTGGTGAAGAGTATTGAGTATACCATGAACTGCCAGTAGACTGAAGAAATATGTCTGATAGAAATACAGCCAGAATGAACTTTAGAAACAAGGATGGTGAGACAACTTCCCATGTATTTGAACATGTTACCAGGAGGAACCAGTCCTCGGAGAAGGATATATCATGCTTGGTAAAGTAGGTCAGTAAAAAGGAGATTAACATAGTAGCTGCAACAGCGGGCTCAGACACAGTAAGCAGGGACTATGAAGATGGTGCAAGACCAGTGTGTGTTTGTTCTGTTGAACATAGGGGTCCCTATGAGTCAGAACTGACTTGATAGCACCTAACAAGAGCAGTAGGAAGTGGTAAGGGTTTCAAGTAGCCAGGGTACTTAGCTGTATTGTGGACAAGCATATGAACTCGTATTTTCTGGCTATAAGTTAACCTCAAAAATGAGCATTTGCCTTCTAGTACGACTCCCGAGGTTTTGTTGCATTCTCGACTAATGGTGCTCAAGGTAACTATCCCAGTCTTGCCTGCGATTAACAGCCTTTTGTGTGTTTCTTTTCTTTTTACATTATTCTAGGCTGATGCACCTAATCCAGGACTCATTCCAGATGCAGATGCAGTAGGTGTAACAGTTGTGCTAATTACATGCACCTATCGAGGTCAAGAATTTATTAGAGTTGGCTATTATGTAAATAATGAGTATACTGAGACAGAATTAAGGGAAAATCCACCAGTAAAACCAGACTTTTCTAAGGTAATGTTGTGACTGTTTCTTTTTAATTGCTATTACTATGTATTTTTGGCAATTGTCATTTCATAATAGTATGCTATGAAAATGGCTTTAAGAAACAAATTTGAGGTCCTTGTGCCAACTAGACAAACTAACCACTATTCTATTACCACTCATGACCTCACACTCTGTCTTCAGATCTCCCAGGCACCTTAAGAGTTTGTGCTAAAGTGCCTCCTCTAAGAAATAGCCTTTGTTTAGGGCTTTCTACATATAGCATTTCTCAGACATCATAATTCTATTAATTTCAATCTTTGTAGTTATTGCTAAGTACTGCTGAGTCAGTTCCAACTCAACAACCCTGTACAGGGTTTCCAAGGAGCGGGGTTGGTGGGTTTGAACTGCAGACGTTTTGGTAAATAGTTAGCACACCAGGGATTTCAACCTTTAGTACATGCAAAACGCCATACACCCTGAGGTCATTCAAATTCATCTTTCTCATATTTATTATTTAATAATGATATTTTTGTCCATGACTTTTCCCAAATCTGTAGTGGTAAGTTTCGTTCGCTTTTAATATGGTGTTAATATGCTTCGGAGTCCTGGTGTGGTGCTGAAGGATAAAGTGCTGGACTACAAGGTCAGTTTGAATCCCATGATCAGCAGTTCAAGCCCACCAGCTGCTTTTCAGAAATCCTATGCAGAGTCACTGAGTTGAAGGCACCTAACAACATGTTCCTAGATGTTTTGTTATGACTATATGTAATAAATGCTGTATCTGTTCTTATGTGTTAAAATTTTTAAAAATTTATGAACCCCAATCTCCCCCATTGCTACTGAGCTAGTTCCAGATGTTCCACAGCATTTTCAAGGTTGTAATGTTTACGGAAGCAGATTTCTTAGGCTTTTTTTCCTCAGTGCTACTTGAGGGGTTCAAACCGCCAACATTTAGGATAGTTGTTGTTAAGTGTTATAGAGTTAGTTCTGACCCATAGTGACCCTGTATAAAGTTTCCAGGGAGTGCCTAGTGAGCTTGAACTCAACACTGACCTTGCAGTCCAGCACATTAACCCATAGTGCCACACCAGGACTCCAATTAGGATAGTTGTTGAAAAGTGCCTTTGAGTCGGTTCTGACCCATAGTGGTCCTGTATAGGGTTTCCGAGGAGTGACTAGTGAGCTTGAACCATCAACCATGCAGTTCAAACAGCTCTGCAGTCTGGCACAATAGCCAGGACTCCATTTAGGATAGTTGTAGAGCATAAATTGTTGATGCTACCGAGGGACCTTTCTTCTTAGAGGTTATACTAAAAGTTTAAAAGAAAATATTTCTGGCGATGGAAGCAGAAATCTGCTTTAGCATCCTCAAAGGTCTTTAGTCCCTTAATGGTTTCCATTGGGAACTATAATAGTTTAGTAACTGGTGTTGAATATGACACACCATTTGCCATACTATGCATGAAGAATTTGATGGCAATAGAATGTTCTTTTTTCTAGTAAGGATAGAACAGTTTTCATTCTGGCATGGGACCTTCTATTGATGCAGTTTGTTGTCTGTATGGTACCTTGTGTAACAACAACAAAGCAGCAGCAGCAGCATGCTGTTTCTAACAATAAGCTATGAAATTTAAAAGACTGGAAACCATTAATAATGAGAGGTTATACTTGGTATTGACTTAACAACAACAACATACTTGGGGAGGAATTCCTGGTTAGTTAAAAGGAGATACCTTGGAAGAAAAACCTGGTGATCTGTTTTAAAAGAAAACGAAGTCATTGAAAACCCTATGGAGTACAGCTCTACTGTGACACAGATGGGTCACCATGAGTTGGAATCTACTCTTCAACAACTGGTTTAAACTTGGGGACATTTTTCATTTTTATTGAATGTATTTTTGGAAGAAACACTACATTGGTCTAAAGAGGATGTTAAAATAACGCACTATGTGAAGTATTCACCTTTAAAACAATTCTTTCTCATGGACTCTAGACTTCCTGTAACCGTGAAGGTTGGCTAAACCTCTGAAACTACTATCCTGAAATAATCTTTAAATCATAAAACCAGAAATATCACCTGAAATTTTCTTAAAACCAAACAATAGTTTAGCCTAATTAATTTAAAAAGGTCTTCCCTTGATTACTGTGTTCTTTTAAGATCTATCTATATGGGATCAAATTGACAATAGCAACTCACAAGATTCAATAGGAATCTTAGGGGGGGCAGTGACTTTATATTGGGGGAGAAACAACTCAGAAACGGTGGGTGAAGAATAATTGGCCAACTCAAAGAATGTAATCAGTGTCACTAAATGGTACATGCAAAAACTGCTGAATTGTATGTTTTACGTGTATATTCTTAATAACAAAATAAATGAACCCTAAGTCTGAAGTCAGAATTGTAAGTAATTTAAAAAATGTTTTCCCTTTTAGGAAACTGAAGTATAGATTTAGATACTTTGTTATATAATAAAATACTCAAATTCTTGACTCTCAGTGTCTTGTTTTTCCATTAGGCTAAAATAATTTCTTTGGGCCTAATCCTTGTTTATTAATTATAATAAATAAAATATAGCACCATAAACATAAATTCATGTAGATGAATTTAGCTCTTAAGAGTACCATTATAAAATATAATTTATTAAGTGCCTATATATATATATATATGGTGACCTAACTTTCTTAGTATTTATCATATGTATGGTTTTCTTCTAGCTTCAAAGGAACATTTTGGCATCAAATCCCAGGGTCACAAGATTCCATATTAATTGGGAAGATAACACAGAAAAACTGGAAGATGCAGAGAGCAGTAATCCAAATCTACAGTCACTTCTTTCAACAGATGCACTGCCTTCAGCATCAAAGGGATGGTCCACGTCAGAAAACTCACTAAATGTCATGTTAGAATCCCACATGGACTGCATGTGACCACTTGCCATCCCTTTAGTACAAATTAAGCTATAAAAACACAGAACTATTTCCCTGAAATTCCGTAAGTACATAGCCAACCAAGACACAATGTGAAGAATTTGTTTAAAAATCATCCTGTAGAAACTTTATAAGAAAACCAGTATTTGAGCAAATTGTGGAATATAAATACAACTATTTTTAAGTAATTTTTTTCTCTAATGTGTTATTTGTTTTGAAACTGACTTGATTAAAGTATATATATTCTTTTCTTCTCCTCTATAATGTAATTAAAGCACTTACAAAAAAACAAACAAACATGAATCTCTAGACCAGGTTATAAAGATGTCTTAGCCTCTTGGACAATAATCTTGTGGACCACTATTTTTAACAGCCTTCAAAGAACAAAGTTCACTTACATATATTTTCCTGTGAAAACATACAGTATGGTTTAATTTTAAAGTTTCTACTCTTCTTTGGCATAGCTTTAAAAAGGAAACTTGAAATCAACTCTGTACTACAAAGAACTTAAGGACCTGCTTTTCTGGGCCTCATTTCAGTAGCCTCTCAGGCTACTACCAAGGTTCATGTGATATTGCACAACATTTGGTTTGGTGTCTAACAATTGTGGCTACTTGTTATAAGAGCCTCTGGTTATGATTTTAATTTTATTCCAGAGCTTAAGACACCAGAGTAGTCCCTAAATCATACATTATTGTTAACCAAGTAAATTCAGTATGTCAAAAGCAAATATAAAATCCCTAAGTTTAAAAACAGGAAATTATAATGGCTCAAGTCTGTTCAATGGATTTATGAAGATACTATGAGCTTAACTTGTTTAAAATTGTATTGATATATCATCCCATACTAATAGCATTTATATAAATTAAAAAAAATACTAATAGCATTTATAAAAAAACTAAAGGCATATTTAGTTTTGTCATAAAACACAAATTACTATTTTTGGAAATAATGTATTTTCCTACCTGCAGTTCTCTTGTCCACACATTCATGCAGAATAATGTTAGTCCTGTTTGTGGTTGACATACTCCTAGATAGCTCTTCCAGATAGGAAGTTTTTAAAAAAGCAATCTTGGAAAGGTTCATTTCTTTACCGAGGGCTAGATTAGATCCTTCCTCAGAAAGTTTCCTGTGCTCCATTAAATTAAGTGTAGATTCTTTTTATTATTCCTATTGCTACAGAAGACATTAGCCATCTTATACAAAGTTATGCAGTACCTTCTTATCTAGAACTTCTGCATTTTTTAAAATTCTGAGGAACAGAAAAACACATTTGGATATATATGGATTCTGAGTTGCACTTATTTTCTGTTATTCTAAAAATGTGAATTTGTGAGGCAACATTTTTCTGAATGTACCAGATTATTAAAATATTACCCACTGGCTATGAGTTGGGCAGCTAACCTCAAAGTCAGCCATTCCAAACTACCAGAGGTCCCATGTGAGAAAGATGAGGCTTTCTGCTCCGATAAAGATTTACAGCCTTAGGAACCCTATGCAGGGTCACTATGAGTCGGAACCGACTCCACGGCACACCACCAGCAACAAGTAGGTCACAGACTTGAAAAGTAAAATGTACTCAAGTATTGAAACTGTACGAAGACCATTTCTTTTTAGTCTAATTGTAATTTTTAAAAAAAGTTAATACTGCTTAAAATGAAAATAACTAATAATTCTCAGTAAATTAATTGTTACTGTAACAAGAATTAAAATAACAGTTGGTAATATAACAGAAATCCAGGTGTGGTGCTGTATTATAAGCACTGGACTGCCAACCTTTTAGTTGGTGGTTAAAACCCTTGAGCTGCTCCTCGGAAACCTTACACAGGGTCATTAATATAACAATAACAAGATATGTGCCAATTTGCAAATACATTTGGAAATTAAACATTCACTTTATAGTATTTTGGCTCTGCAGGCAGTTCAGATTACAAATGAATTCTGTTCCGAAGTCTGTCTTTTAAGTTCAATTTGTCTGTAAGTCAGAACAGTTAGGTATGATTTGCATTTAATATCAGTCATATGTTTGCCTTAGTATATAATATGTATATGATTATACATAAAAAAATTAAAGAAATGCTTTGAGATAATAATGGTTTGATGCATGTTACAAAGTGTAGTGCCCATTTGTTATTACAAACCATTTACATATCTCAAAATTTTAATATAATGGACTTTATGGGGATCGGTCCATTACTATGGGTTGTACATAAATCAGACATTCGTAACCTGGGGGTTGCCTGTATAATAGAATTTTTAAAAGTAAATAGTTAATGGCTGTAAGTAAGAAAGACTTAGAAAATGAATAGCATATATAATTGGGGCTTCAAAACGTTTGTGGAAAACAGAATTAAAAGATAATGGAATTTTTTCATGAGGTTTTTGAAGCCCATTAAATAGTTTCGGGGGTGGGGGGAGGGTCCTCATTTACATATGGTATCTGAATTACCTCTTAGCAACCCTATAGAGCAAAAAATGTTCCTTAGGAGATTGGCAGCAAGGGGTACAGTTCTTCCTTGTTTCCATGACCTCCTGGTAGCCAGGGGTGTAGCCAGTCTCTACTATCGACACCTAGTGGCCATTGGTATCCCTTCCTGCTTAGCCTCTGCTCTGCCTGGGGTATAGTGTCCCTGCTTCATGGACCTGCCCTGAACTACACTACATAAACAGTGAACAGAGAACTGTGTTCATATTTCTGATCTCTACCTTATCTACCCAGGTGGTGAGTGCCTGAGAATATATACCAATGTACAATCATCAACTAAACAAAATTGTTAAGTATTGTCAAGCTAGCTCCAACTCATAATGAACCTGTATAGGGTTTCCAAGAAGTGGCTGGTGGGTTGAACCAGTTACCTTGCAGCTCAAACTGACCTTGGAATCCAACGCATTATCCTGTAGCACACACCAGAACTACAAAATGTCTTAGAGAAAACAGACAATTCTAGGTTACACGAAGAAACGAGACAAAGTGCCTCCAAGAAGTCAGAAAATATATAATGCCAGGAATGGTATCAGAACTCCTTGATAAAGAATTTCATAATTAGGCAACTTCAGCAGATTGAGAGAACAAATCAAGAAAACTACATACAGGTGAAATCAAGGAAAACTTAGACAAAACTATAGAAACAAACTGATAAAGTAATTGAAAGCATGCGACCCATGTAAAAACGGCAATTAGAAAGCCAGAAGATTGACACTAATAGATATACACACTGAAAGGGCAAATAAATAGAATTTAATCAATGAAAAGAACTTTGAAGAAAAATCTCAGTATTTGTTTATTAGAGGGAACAATCAGGGGGGGAAAAAATCCAAGAAAGCCTAATATTTATGTGGGACACCATCAAGAGGAATAACTTTGATGTGGTAGGAATTACACACAGAATAGGAAGAGACAAAAAGACCCATAGAGTACACTGTCCAAGAGTTGCTGGAAGAAAACTTCCCTAACATCAGATAAGAGAAGATGGCCATTCAAGAAGTTGAACCAACCCCAAACAAGATAGACCCCAAAAGAAAATCAAGACACATGATAATCAAACCTTTAAAAACCAAAGACAAAGAATTCTGAGAGCAGCACAGGAAAAAATACAGTTACCTAGAAAGGAGAACTAGCAAGACTTAAGTTCTAATTTCTCAGCAGAAAGCTAGCAAGCAGTAAGACAATGGTAGTGGTGGTTATGTGCTGCCAAGTCGGTTCTGAGGCACAGAGACCTTGCATGAGGTTTTGACAAATAGAAATGAAAACAATTTGAAAAACCAGAACAACTTTACAAAAAACTAAAAGAGGAGTTCTTTGGGCAGAGAACCAACAACAGCAGACAACCTGAGATGAACATAAATGACAATAGTCCCTACATTCAACCCAGATATAAAAGTATGCAAAAGTAAAACAGACCTAAATAAGACTGAAAATAGACAATTAGAGATACAGTTGCAACAATAACAAGAAACAAAAAGAGGGAATAATGTAGTTACAAAACTTCCAAATGAAGAGGAAATCAAATGGATTTCAAGAAAATATAACTATTTTGTAACAAAAGGGGAGGAGTAGTAAATCTTACAGTCCAGCAGTAGCAGACCCTAGGACCATCAAGGGAAAAGAACATGGGCGGAATGTGGGACCCTATCCAGAGAAGCAGCCACGGCAGAGATAAGGACATGGAGAGAGAGAGCAGCTAAAGACTCTAGACTCATGGAAAGAGAAAGGCTGTATGCTGGTGGCTAAGAGGCAGGCTTGCAGAATGTGCCCTTTGGTTGTTTAAATGATTATATATTCCTGAATGTTTTTGTGTACATTCCCTTCCACCCCCCAAAAAAAATACAGAAGAATAAACCTAACTATAACCCTGAAAACTAGACCAAGCCTTAGTCTTAGCACTAAGTCTTAACACCTACCCTAACACTAACCCTAGTCTTAGCCATAACTTTAACAACAATAAATGAAGTCCTAGACCTAGTCATAGTCCCAACTATAACCCTTATTCCTTACCCACCCGCAAAAGAAAACAGAAATGATCCTTAGGATTTCCTAGGCTGTACATTTTTATGGGAGCAGACAGACTCTTCCTTCTAGCAGAACAGCTTATAAGTGTGATCTTATTAGCAGCCCAACATGTAACCTACTACGTCAGTTGGGTTTTTATTAGAATTATAGCAAAAAGGTTTAAAACTTTTGTTCCCCTTTTTGATCATAGTAAGTAGATGTGTCCTGAGAAGATACTCATGAACAAATTACGCTATTGAACAGATAAGCAAGTAGGTCAGAGGAAAAGAGGACAGCCATTGGAACTGCGAAACATTCAAGTAATCTGAGAAGCATTCATGCATTTGGCTCATACATAACAGGGCTTTTGATAACCTTAGGATTCCATGCTGTCTTATCTTATTTTACCCTCTAGTTTTAGAATTTGGGGTTTCTAGGTTTAATAATAAGGTCTACAGCAGCAACTCTTTTAACTTGCCATAATCAACATTTAAAAAAAAACACCTAGAACAAGTACACACATACTTCGTTTTAAAGAAAATGCACCATTAGTTATGTGTAGAAGTTCTGTAGTTTCTGGTAGATTTCATTTTGAAAGTGCTAGTGAAGTGACACTTAGGACCTAATGGGTTGTGTACACAGTTTTATAAAAAAGACTAGTCTGGCCCTTTGGGTAGGTAAGAGAAATAGCAATAACTTCTCTATAACTGTAAAAATATAAATAACCTCTTTTCTCTCGTGATGGAATTATGATCTTGAAATAAATTTTATTTTTTAAAAAGAAAACGTGCCAATATAGCACCCATTCACTTTAAAATAGCTCAAATACTCACAGTCCACAGGACAGCATGGTTGCTTTTCCTGTCACTCCAGATAATTACTTAAGACATAGTCCACATTAATAACTTGAGAAACATCTTTGTTTGCTGTTGACATCTTAACAGAATTCTAAACCACTGGATCATAAAGATTATAAAATGATACAAAGTGTTATTCTTACTAACTTCCCTTCCAGTATCTTGAAGCTTGTCCACTCCTCTCAGTTCACAAATCTCTTGTCAGTGATGAATGCACTATTCAATTACATGTATATTTCAAAACCCTAAGAACTACTTAGAATGGTGTCCCAGTTATGGAGTATTTTCTGCTTTGTGATAAATTTTAAAGAAAAGGTCTCATATGAAACTTGAGTACAGGTCATGGAAATTAGGCTCCCTTAGCAAGCAGCAAATGACTGTACAACTTGTGAAACCAAGAACCTATTTGAGGGAGAAAAGGAGAAATATTTCCCCAATCAAAACTATAAAAATACAAAGTGTCATTGAAACATGTTTTGTAAAAGAATTTTCCCCAAGAAACAATGGTGATAAATTCCCTAAGACACTTAAAAAATACAGTAGTAGCATTTTATCTGTAATAGTTTTATATGTACTTGATGAAGAATGGAGTCCTGGTGGCATAGTGGGTTACACATTGGGCTGCTAAAAACAGGTCAGCAGTTCAAATCCACCAGCCACTCTTAGGGAGACAAAGGGGACACTTTCTGCTTCCATAAAGATTTACAGCCCTCTGAAACCCTACATAAGGTTGCTATGAGTCAGAATCGATGCAAACACATTGGGTTTGGGATTAGATGAAGAATTATAAGGCATGAATGAAGTTCCACATTGCAATGATTAAACAATGCTTTCCACATACTAAATAGTCAAATTTTTCAACTGAAAAATTTCATTAGGAGCTACTGCTTGCTGCCCATGAGATCTCTGAACATGAAAATGCCTTAAGTAAACCATCGATCCACTTTTACAAAGTGAATGTTTTCCCCTACTTAATTAATTTTAATGTTATGTTTGCTGGGTCTTCATCGGTGATGCATACTTTTTATTCATAGATACATGTATGAAGGTAATCACTGAAGAATGAGAAAACTGAATAAGATCATTCAAAATGAAGACTCAAGGAGATACACGGAGTAATTTTTGTCAGATAACGTTAGGTGACAATGGAGCTTTAAAAATATTTTCTTAGAGCTATAACTTAATGTGTGTTTCCTTCAACTTTTGGTAGTAACTAAAAATTAGCTTCAAGTTTATACTACTGTTGTTAAGTGCCATTGAGTTGGTTCCGATTCATAGCAACTCTGTATAGAGGTCCCAAGGAGCAGCTGGTAAGCTTAAACTGCCGACTTTGCAGTTCAAACGACTTTGCAGTCCAGCGCATTAACCTGCAGTGCCACACTAGGACGCCTTATCCTACTACAGATAGGTACTTCTTTTATAAGAGAAAAATATTGTGGTAATATCAAATTATTTGAAATTGTCACATAAAAAATACCTGCACTTGTAGATCCAATTCCTGTGGTAAGGACAGATCTTGGTGTAATCTTAGCTGCATATTTGAGGAACTGAGATTTCCCTGTGCCAGGATCCCCAACCAATAAAAGATGTGATTCGCCTAGAAAAATATAAATATTACAGTTTTTTATTTCTATGAACTACCCATGAATCACTGTAATTATAATTAAAAACAGTCCACTTGGGATGCTAATATAATTTATATTTTATATGGTGCTTCTGAGGTACAATTTGCTTAAGATCATTCCAGAAAAAACTTAACTAGAAAATCTTCAGAAATGTTAACTGTCATCATAAATATACTAATTTTTAAGTGATTACTGACTGTGACATTTAAAATTTATATACTAGCAATAGATTATATGCTATTTTGAGATAGTTAGGCCTATGTTTATTTAGTTATTTGGCTAATTTAATCTCTTTTTAAATAACAAATGTCTATAATTAAATCTTTCCATATAAGCCATATTAGAATTTAATTAATTAATTTTTTAATGTAAGTATCCGGGACTTTATAAGTACTTCATAAATAACAGATCACTTATAATTCCAACAGTTAAATGAAAACCTTTTCATTTAATGAAAATTTCAATAGTTTAATAAAGTATCTATCTTAAGGTAGTTAAGGGCTATTTTTCAAATGTAACATAAATGAGCATAGGAATATCTTTTGGTATTTACTATCTTACTGATCAATTTTGGTTTTCAGAAAGTTTCAAACTCCCAAGTATTTCCTAAGTATATTAATAGGAACTCTTATTGAAGCTTCACATTTAGCTGTGTGCCTTGCAGATGGTAGGTGATCGAAACATATTTACTTATTCTACTTAGAATCATATGCTGTACTGTACTGAACAATACAGTTCTAGTGTGATTTATACAATACAGTCCCTACTAACAGTGTGATTTACAAAAATGGCCTTTTGATGTAGCCTTTGTTTTTATGGCTCACATGAGGACCATCATAAACATGTTTTATGTCAGATTCAGGTCAGTTGAGTGTGCTTTGCCCCAAGAAAGCATTTTGTCATTAGGACATCATTGCACACTTAGAGTAATCTTTGATTGAATGTATGACCTACAGCAGGCCCTTGTGGCAGATGGTGCATTTGCTGTTGCCCAGCAGAAGGGGAGTCAGCAGGCAGATGACTGGGAGCGGCAGTCTGGAGAAGCACAGTGAGTCACAGATGGAGAGTCACTGACTTGAAGATATTAAAAAACTATTTTTAATTTTCCCTCTTGAAGAGCAACTTGGGATCTAGTGGGAAAGACACAATACACAATAATAAAAAAGTAAACATTTTACTTTGTGGTACCTTATAAGCTGGAAAAAATAGACCCACTGAAAAACTTATGATTTCTTTCAGTCTTTCAGGAATTCTAGAAAGTACGTTCTGATGTGTAGGTGCCAGACTAAGTTACAGATATTCAGATAGTTTTCCAGCTTTAAAAGATAACCTTTAGAAAATAAAAGTTTTGTTGTTGCTAACTGCCATTGAGTTGGTTCTGACAGCGACTCTGCATAGGATTTTTGTGGCTTTAAATCTTCGAGGGAGTAGAAAGCCTCATCTTTCTCCCATGGAGCAGTGGGGGCTTGAACCGCTTGTGGTTTGCGGCCCAGTACTTATTGTGTGGTGCCACTGTGCTCCCCAAAGTAAAATAAGCAATTATTTTTCAGGAAAAGCAAAATTTCAATCCTTTCTCCCAGAAAATGTTACTATTACTCAAAACTTTTAAATAGGTACTGACCTCTGACACGTGTCCCTGTAGCATCAGTCCTTTGAATCCCACCTGCTAGCACCAAAGCTACAGCAAGCTTTACTAGATACATCCCAAAAACTTGAGGGCACAAGCTGGCCAGTATTTCATTCCTTCCTAGAAGAAGCAGACAGAAAACAAGTCACCAATGATTTCCCAAACTGATGTTTCTCTTTCTGGCCTATCTACCATCATCTTAAAAATAGACTCTTTCTACCACCTAAAATGATCAAGAAAACCATTTCCAAATGACTAAATGGAGGCCTGATGTGGAACTGCAGGATAAATACTTCACTAATAGCTCTGGTAGCATAGTGGTTACGAATCGGGCTGTGAACCACAAGGTCAGCAGTTCGAGACTACTAGCGGTTCCGTGGAAGAAAGATGAGGCGTTTTGCTTCCGTAAAGATTTACAGCCTCAGAAACCCTGTGCAGGGTCACTATGAGTCAGAACCAACTCCACAGTACTTAACAACAACAAATAACCTCAAGGTCAGCAGTTCAAACCCACCAGGTCTGGAAACCCTATACAGTAGTCCTGGTGTGGGACTGTACTAATAACCTCAAGGTCAGTGGTTCAAATCCACCAACTGTGGAAACCCTATATGGGGTCACTATGGATCAGAACTGACTAACAAAAAAGCAAAAATGGCAAGACTTAGGCTCATGTTCTTTGAACATGTTATTAGAAGAACCAGTTTCTGGAGAGGGTCATTAGACTTGGTAGAGAGTCAGCAAAAAAGAGAAAACCTTCAACGTGTTAGAATGACAATGGCTGCAGCAGTGGGCGGGAATGATTGTGATGATGATGCAGAGCCACCTGGCAGGGTTTCCTTCTGTTGCACACAGGGTGACTAAGACTCAGAACTGACTTGATGGACGCTAACGACGACGACAACATACTAACTTAAGGAAAAGGATACTCTGTTCATGCTAAAAGAATGCTGACTCATTATCTCTGTCTTTTCCATCCAACAAATGAGTTGTTCAGGATAGCTTCCTGATTAAAAAATATTCATTTACAAATACATGAGGGGGCTTTCAAAAATTCATGGAAAAATTCTGTTATCTCCTAACTCAATTTTTCCATGAACTTTTTAAAAAGTCCCTTCGTACATGATTCTTAAAAGGCTTGTTTCACATAGCCACAATGAAGAGAACTTTTACTGCTTTCTGAATGGATAAGATACATGAACGATCAGGGACTACTACCTATGTATTGTACACATAAACACAAAAAGTAAAATAACAAACTACAAAACTGGACTTAGACAAATGGGAGCCTTATTATTTTGTGAAATAATATCTGTACAGTTCAGCATGTGATTTAAGAATAAAGTAATATATATTAGATCTGAATTGGTTTATTAGAATTAATCTGTTATTAGCTTTGTATTTTCTTAGAAGATGCCTCCAAGAAAGAATGAAAATAGGCATTTGAAGATTTAAGTGGTGTTTGATACAACTGGGATTTAAATTTTAAACTTTCTCTACAAACCTAAAGGCTGCAATGTTTTAATCTATATAATTACACCCTAGGTCACAGTCAAAATTTTTTGCTGTGATGATAAAAGGTTATCCTTTGTATTTTTCTATTTCTCATTTATTTCTTACACATTCCTGATTTAAAAATCTTCAGCTAAAACGGTGTAAAGCTGTCTTTATTATCTAAGATACTTCAGGGAAAAAAAAGGTTTTACTAGGATTAGGTTTCAAAATAGGATGAGTTTTTCACTTCAGAAGAAGAGCTATATTTAATTGGTAAAGGTAGAAAGTAGAAAATTCACAGTTTTAGCAAAACATGAGATGTTTAACATAATAGTTACAAATGGAAATGCTCTTGGAATTCAGTCTTCGTTTCCCAGAAAGATCTCTATATAGAAATGATTAGTAGAAAGCGTCTTAAAGGGAGACTATAGCTAGGGGCACTGATGACTGCTGCCCCTAGCTATACTATGCTGCAGCAAGTAACCTTGCCCCCAAATCACAGATACATGTCTAAATACTGAATGAAATGCTAGTAATAAGTATCAGCTTTATACCCAAAATCACAAACCTGCGAAGGGATCACTCTTAAAGTTTTCCCAAAAATCTTCAAATTCCTTTCGGGCCTCCTCATCCATGATGGTTCCCATGGACTGCTCATTATTTACTTGGACATAATTGGCCTTCAGGACTATCTCCACTTCACAACGTGCATCTTGCTGAAAAGGCTTCCACCGTTGCATTACGACCCCATAAACAGTGAGGTCATCACCTGCAGAGAAGCACCAAGTGAGCCAAGCAGTAGCACACAGGCTGTGCACAGATTTACATGACTGAGGTCCAAAAATTAGAAATATACTACTGCCCCACCAGAATTAAGTGTATCTGCTCATCCAGGTAACCATTTGGGGGCAAAAGACCAGACTCCCAATTTCTCTTTTTACAGGTAACATTTTTATTTTTCCTAATCTGCCACAGGGTAATCACACCAAATAATGACCCTTCCCTAGGGAAATTGTGGCCTCGCCATTGCACTGGGTGGAATACGCATGTTCTCACAATCTCTAACCATTGAGTTCTGTTACAGATGTGGAAATTACAGTTAAAAGGTTCAACTACAATCGATTTGGTGTCAGGAAAGGAGACAGTATTAAAATGACTTGCTCCTTGTTTTTGTATTTTTCCTTACTTTATTTGTTAACATTTTATTGACGGCCTTTCCCCCCAAAATGAATAAAAGAATGGAGAAATGAATGAACCCTTGTTCTATGTTAAAATTCCTTTTCATAAGCAATTGAAAGCATAAGCCACTAATAACCATGCTAGTTCTTCTGGATGGTTCCTTCCCACCTGAGGAAACCCTCCTGGGCAGAAGTCTAAATCTTTACAGGTTTTCCTGAGAGGTCCTGGGTAGTTTAGAAGCACATTTTATCCACACACTGACATCTGTGCTATTACACACAATGCCCAGGTATTAGCTAATGAGTACATTATGAACTCTGCAATCCAGAGAGAAGTGGGGGTGGAGGGGTGTTTTAAAAAAAGAAAATCCTAGTCCTCAGAGATTTCAACCTACTGAAAATAAGATTTTAGACATACCTCAACCCCAAACCTGGTACTTACACTATGAAAAGCACACAGTGTTTCTAAACTATGGCAATTCTTCATTTTCAAGTCTTTGCTATATGCTATTGCTGATACAGAATGCCTTTGACTTCCCAATTTCAATGTGTGTATTCTGGTGTGGTGCCGTGGGTTAATGCACCAGACCGCAAAGCCCTTTGAACTGCAAGGTTAGTGGTTCAAGCTCACCAGCTGCTCCTTGGAAACCCTATAGAGAGTCGATATGGATTGGAACTGACTCGACAGCACTTAACAACAAAAAATTGTGTAATGAGCCGAGCTTTTGATTTCTTAAATAAGAGTTCTATAAATGCATGCGTCATAGGAGGTACAAACTAGCTTTTTATACATGTTTTCAAGATTTTTCCGAAATTACTCCCTTGATGGTTTTCAAATCCAATTACAGATAATGATCACTTCCTACACTGTCTGCGTCTCATTTTTTTTTTTTTTTCAGGTGAAAAATGACTGGGGCAACTATATATGAGTGCTCATAACAGTCCTGCACTAGTCCTTTCAATGAGTTATGTTTAGGTTGTTCCTAAATTTGTCAAATGAAGAACTTTGACAGTTAAATACAGTACCAAATAGTAATAATCTTACTGCAATAAGCAGTGATCATATGGAAAAGGTACTAAAGAGTGGTCAAGCGCAGACTCTAGTCAGACTTGGGTTCAAATCCCCACTGTTCACTAACCATGTGACCCTTGGGCAAGGTGCCTCAGGTTTCTGTCTTAGTTACCTAGTTCTGTTCTAACAGAAGTACCACAACTGGCTTTAACAAACAGATTGATTCTCTCACAGATTAGGAGCCTAGAAGCACAAGTGTAGGGTGCCAGCTCTAGGAGTCTTTCTCTGTTGTTGGATCTGTTGTTTCCTTACAAGAAGTAAGGACCCAGCGTTCCTTGGATAGCTACTGTGTCTTGGCATCAGTCTTCCCAAGTCTTGGTGGTTCTCAGTGTAGGGACCCAGATGCTCCATGCTGCCAGATCTTCCTTCTTGGTGGTACTGAGGTCCCGCCTTCCCTGCTTATATTGGATCAGGGCTGTGACCTGAGTAAGGGAATTGCATTCCACCCAAACTCCCTCATAACTATTTGGCTGATCTCACCAGATCACATCATGGGGGATAATTACATCATTATAAGTGTTATAAGAGGCAAATTATAACATTCGGCAAACCACTGAGAATTATGGCCCAGCCAAGTTGGCACATATTTTGGGAGGGATACAATCCAATTCGTGACAGTTTTTAAATCAGGGTTTTGATTTACAAAGTAGGAATATTGTTGTTAAGTGCTGTTGAGTCCATTCTGACCCATAGTGACCCTGTATAGGGTTTCTGAGGAGCAGCTGGTGAGCTTGAACTGCCTACTTGCAGCTTAAACCGACTTTGCGCATTAATCAACACCACCATACCAGGACTCCACAAAATAGAAATAAAGGTATCTATATCATAGGACTACAATGATAGTCCAAGTAGGTCAGATAATGTATGTAAATTTATATCGAAGAGAACTGAGCTGTACGATAAGCACTGGAGTGTTAATAACAAGACTAGGGATTGAAGCCCACCAGCCACTTCTCAGAAACCCCACAGAAAGTCAACATGGGTTGGAACCAACTTGACAGCATTTAGCAACAACAACAACCAGAGAACACTTGTTCAATAAATACTATTTTACTAAATCTACCTTACAGTTTGACAGCACTTAACAACAACACCTTACAGTTATTTGTAAAGCAACTATCTTTTAAAACCCTTCCTTAAATACAATTTTTCATTTACTCAAATTACTGAATGGAAGACTCATTCAATAATTGGAACAGCTGAGGTATATATGAAGTGGCTTCAAAGAGTTCATGAAATTTTTCAATTATCTTTTTTTTTTTTTGAACAGTACAAGGGAATAGTTAATGGTTTCAAGTTAGGAAAAGTGTGTTATTCAATCTTTTTTTAAATGTTTTATTGTGAATTATGTATAGTTTACATGGAGAACATTAGTTTTACATTCATCCTATTGCACATCGTTTCACTGCCATGGTTACAATCCCCTCCATGCATCATTAACCAACCAAAGGGTATACACTACAAGCCTGCCCCCCGGTCATCAGCACACAACCCTTCTCTCTCTGGGTGTCTAAAGTCCCCAACTGCTCCATCTCTCCACGTCATCGTCTCTGCCTCCATCTCAGGCATCACTGCTTCTCTGGGTAGGGTCCCGCTCTTCTCCCTTGATGGTCCCAGGGACCCCTGCTCCTAGACTGAAAAGTTAATCACTCCCCTCCTTGCTACAAAACGCCTACAGTTACATTTCCAACCCTCACAATCAGTTCTGATAACAATTATTCACTAATGTATCACAAGAGACCTATCTGCATTTTCTTTCATCAGCCCCACCTAGACAGATTGGATACTACTCAGTGGTGATTCTACCTTCCTCCACACCCTCTGGATCTAGGTTCCCTCTTGAAAGCTTGTAAGCCAGTAACTTCATGGCTTTGTTGCCCCCCCATTTTGATTAGCCAATGTCCAAGTTGCCCATCCCTTCTACTCTGTGTATGGAGGGGGTGGGAATGATCATCACTATAGAGATTTGTTCCCTCTTTTGAGTTGCTGCATCCATAGGTGTAGATCAAGTTCATCAAATTATATCAGATTACTCTTTTTTTTCCTCTCCTTTCTTCTTCTAGTTGAGCTCTGATCATCCAGTCATCGAAGCCAGGTCAAGTGTGTATTATCTGCAAGTGTGGGTGTTCTTGTGCATATGCCCTCTCTTCTTATCAGCTGGATGCTCCAATCTCCACTCTAGTCCTCTGTGGCTATGTCACTGACTCTGGGCCCAAGAGTCTTGCCACACTGCTGGCCAACCAGGTCTCCACCTGGGTTCACAGTAGTCTATTGAATGTTTTCAATTATCTTTTAACTCCACTTTTCTAAGAACTTTTTGAAGCCCCCTCATATGATACCCTAAGAGACAAAAGATAATTTGGTTTAAACTTTTGTGTTTCTTCAATGCTGTTGTTAAGTGCCACTGAGTCTGTACCTATGCACAACGGTACCTATGTTACTGTTAGGTGCCGTCATGGGGACCTTATGCATAACAGAATGAAACACTTCCTGGTCCTGCACCAACCTTACAATTATTGCTATGGTTGAGCCCATTGCTGCTGCCACTGTGTGTATCCATCTCTTTGAGGTTCTTCCTCTTTTTCACTGCCCCTCCACTTTACCAAGCATGATATCCTTTTCCAGGGTCTAGTCCCGCCTGGTAATGTGTCTGAAGTATGAGAAACAAAGTCTGGCCATCTTGGCTTCTCAGGAGCATTCTGGCTGTACTTCTTCCAACACAGATTGGTTTGTTCTTTTGGTGGTCCATAATACTTTTAATATTCTCCTCCAACACCATAACTCAAAAGCATCAGTTCTTCTATGGTCTTCTTTACTCATTGTCCAACTGTCACAAGCACATTAGGTTATGAAAATACCATGGCTTGGGTCAGGCACACCTTACTCCTCAAACTGACATTTTTCTATAGTAAATGTTTTATTGTATTTTATAGTTACTTATTTTATATCTATTATATTTCATAAGTAATATTATAGTTAATGTCATTGTTTATAGGAAATATTATAAAATAATGTTATTTTCAGAAAGCTAAAGTTCTTACTTTTATACATTCCACTCTCTAGATGTCAGCTTGAGGACTAAGGTGCACCTGACCTAGTCCATGGTATTTTCAATAACCTGATACGCATGTGAAAGCTGCACAGTGAATAAGGAAGACCATAAAAGAATTGATGCTTTTGAGTTATGGTGTTGGAGGAGAATATTGAAAGTGCCATGGGCTGCCAAAAGAACCAACAGATCTGTGTTGGAAGAAGTACAGCTATAGTGCTCCTTGGAAGCCAGGATGGCCAAACTTCATCTTTTTTACTTCAAACATACTGTCAGGAGGGACCAGTCGCTGGAGAAGGATATCATGTTTGGTAAGGTGGAGGGTCAGAAAAAAAGAGGAAGACCCCCAACCAGATGGATTGGCAAAGTGACAGCATCAGTGGGCTCAAGTGTGGCAACAATTGTGAGGTTGGCCCAGGACCGGGCAGTGTTTCACTCTGTTGTGCACAGGGTTGCTATGAGTCGGTACCAACTCGATAGCACCTAACAACAACAATTCTCGTTGTGCCCCTACATCTTCTGCAGCTGTTCTTAATCAGGCCAATCCCCTGATCATCTGCTGCACAGACACTTAGCAGACGCTGCCTTCCACTTCACTGCTCTGGACATGTTTGGCTTCCTAATTAGACTGTGAATTCTTAAAGGGCAAGGATTATGCCGTTGATGTCTTCTGAGTCCTACAGACATTTGTGGCTAAGGAGAAAATTTTTAGATAGCTGCTGACAATTGCTTCCATCGATTCCTTAGTATTAGTGACATTTGGGGTGGGAGGGGAAGGTTAAGAATTTTTTTGAATTTAGATAAACTATACAAAAACCTCTTAATCGCTATCAAAAGCTATCTTCATCTTAAATCTGAGCTCATACAAACAATGCTGTACTGATTCAGACATTATCAATTTTTATTAAAATCTAGAGTCATACATGAACAGGTATTTAAACATATGCATATATCCACAACATAATCAAAGTTGTTATTTCCTTAGTATAGTATTTAGACAAGTACACAGTGCTAAAATATTTGGCATAATTTTCTAATTATAAGGTAATGATTCTTGGTGAGGAGAGTATTTGGATAGAGATTCTTGGCTCTAGAAACTGAGCTCTATGGCATTCTTGCCTCATCATTTTAATGAAAAGTCACATAAGTAAATGTTTTATAAATGAGACACTTGGGGAAGCCCAACATTAAGGAAAACGAAATGATGAAGTTTAGAGAAAGGAAGCACTTAGCTGTTAAGTGCCATCAAGTCGGTTCTGACTCATAGTGACTCTGAATAGGGTTTCCACGGCTGTACATCTTTATGGAGGCAAAGAGCTTCCTCTTTCTCCAGACAAGCAGCTAGTAGACTCATATCACTGACCTTGTGGTTAGCAGTCCAGTGCTTATCCTACAAATCTACCACTCCCCAATAGGGGACATACCTGTTAATTGCCCAGGGAGACAACCTGTGCTATTTGTTTTTGTATTTTAAAGATTAAAAGTGTTTGAGTGAGAATAGGAAACATATAAAGCAAGAATTGTTAAGGTGGATTGAAAGCAAACATTTGACAAATTCAGCTAAGATTTAGCAATCAATTCTATTTCCTGACTCACTTTAATGATAGATAGCCAATGGAAATAGGTAGGCCAAAAGTAAAAACAGCCCTTATCATATCCTGTGGAGTGGATGGTGGGTTTGGACTGCTGACCTTGAAGTTAGCAGCCCAACGCTAACCTTAAATCCTGGTGTGGCACTGTAAGATAAGCACTGGACCAACCACAAGGTTGATTTGAAATAACAAGGTTGGTGGTTCAAACTTACCAGCTGCTCCTGGGAAACTCTGTACAGGGTCACTATGAGTCACTGACTTGATGGCAATGAACAACAATAATATCCCTTATCAACTGTTGAATAAAGCACCTTTTTCATTTTTGCATTATATATGCAGATTATCACCAGCATAGAAAGATGAGGCTTTCTACTCCCGTAAGGATTTACACCCTTGGAAACCCTGTACAGGGTCGCTATGGGTCGGAACCGACTCGAAGGCACTTAACAACAACAACAACAACCCATGTAAAAAATATACCAGATTTTATTTAAAGTATCTCTTACTGTATTCAGATGTAGTTATTACAGAAGAGAACAGTATCATTTAGAGCAATGCTGCTGATTATAAAACCCAGTATCTTAATTTTGCCAATAAAATTTTTTTCTACTTTCTTTTTTTTTTCCGTAAAAAGAATAATTTAAAAATTCAGTTCAAAACACTTCCATGCTATAGTCATAGGCAGATACTAACCTTCATCATCCTACAAATACTTAACATTTTATTTCTTCCCAGGCTCTCCAATGCGGAGAAGAAAAGAGGACATGATGAATGATGAGGAGTTTAGGACTAGTCTGGTTGACATAAGATAAAAGCATGTAACTCAGAATAATGTAACAACCAGGCTTCTAGAACCCTCAGATTTCCAGAATACTTCTGATGTTCAGAGAGCCTTGGGTTTGTTTGAACATTCTAAATCATCCAGATCAACTGCCATCATCATGAGGCCTAAATCTTTACCAAAGTGCTGCACATCCTCTGCTTGACTATCTACAAGAAAAAGAACTCACCATTGTCGAAGGTCTTTATTTGGACATTTCTGACTATTAGATCCTGAGTTGAAATCTACTTCCCTTGCTTCCACCTACTGAAGCCCAATAATATCTTCTGTAATTATAATTTTATTTCTGTATATGTTTTTCAAATATCTAAAGTTGGTTTATGTCCTTCCTGAGGTTTCTTCTGGCAACATCCACTCACAGTTCTTCATTCAGCATGGTTTCAAGTTATCACTCAATCCAGGAGACTGACTAATGGAAAAACTGAGGCCTGTTAGAACCACAGACCAAATCAATGTTTCAAAGCACAGAGCAGAGGAAGGGTCAGCTCCGTTTTTCAGACACCACCAAGACTGCAGTAGCATTTGTCAGAGTCACATCCTCTTATTCATTCTGTACGACTGTACATGAAAATCTACTAAAAGTTTAATGTCACTGCTGCTAAGCTATGGTTTACTGAAGACAATCTTAGATTTGAAGTCAAATGCTCTGTGTTAATATAGTTTTACTACTTAACTCACTAACTGACGTTAGGCAAATTGGGTTTTTCAACCACTTAACTCACTAACTAATGTTAGGTTAATTGGGTTCTTCAACTATCAAAAAAGCAACTGGACTAAATTTCCAATCTCTAGGTCAGATTTCTTTAATTCTATCATTTCCCACCTTCATGACTCCATGGCAGTTACCATTCTCAAGTTCAGCAATTAACCCTCCACTTACCCTCGGGAAAATAAAAAATGGCTCTTCCTAACCAATATTTTAGGACCCTTTATATAAGCTAATAAAAGTTGACTCTTACCAGATTTGCAACTGTCTACTAAATCATCTTCCAGGATAACCTTCATAGATCGTGGAATACTTCCAACAGATAGCCTTTGAACCTAACAAGAAAAAGAAAGCAGATATAAAGGACAATAAATACACAGTGACTAAACATCATTATGATGGGGATATATGGAATTTTCTTGAAAATCATGCCTACCAGGTAGTGTACAAATTCACAAAAACTAGAATGAGATAAAAGCACCGATATGTAAAAGATCTCTAAATAAAACTGACTTTGTAGACTGTCAAAACACAACAATCCATAATAATAATAAAGCTGCCTATCTAGAAAGCAAAGGCACTTCTCGTTCCTGATCTCTATTCATAAAGCCTAGGATAACTCACTGAGTTCCTTTAATTATTCTTCAGTATCAGAACTCTGGTTTTATTCCATGTTGAAATGTGTCAACAAAAAGAGTACATTTCCCAGGATTCCTTGCATCTACTTATGGTCATATGACTAAGTTTGGGCCAATGAGAAATAAGCAGACATGTTTTAGGGGACTTCAAGGGAAAAATGAAAACTTGGTTGGGTGGCATGTTCTTTTTGTCCATCCCCTCTCCTACACCCTGCTCTTTATTAGAATACCGAGGTGATGGAGTTGTAGTTACCGTCCAGTACCACAGTCACTCGCAGAATAGAAGTCATAGGTCTTAACAGTAGAGTAGACAGACAAATCTACCCATTTTAGATGAGAGAAGTAGCCTTTGTGTTTAAACTGTAAGTAAAGGAAAATCAAGCTTATCCTCATTTGTAAAAGTGTTATTGTTAGAGTTGGCACAGCAGCTAAAATTAGCCCAGACCACAAATTCTGCCCACTACAATGTTTAAACTCATTTTATTTTCTCCTATTCCTTAGTTATGAACAGTTAATATGGACTTCATAAATATTCTTTTATTTTATTTTAACGGGATTGTTAAGTCACTCCACAATCTTGTCAATGCTTTATCAAGAGATTATTTGAATAGCATATGGCTGTGCATATTCTCACAAAATAATAAAAAGTTTATTTCATGATTTCTGCAGACTATATTCTATGTACAGTGGTTTCAAGATTAATCTTCCACAAAGTGATGACACAATTCCATTTGTAAACCATTATGTGTTCTCCACTCTTCAATTTACCCAAAGCTGAAAACTACTTAGCATTTTAAAATTCATAGTACTTTTCCTTTATTTTTTTTTTAACATTAGAGTTATATATAATTTTGAATTGATCATTTACCTGTTCCTGAATCTTGATTTCCTGGTAATCTCTACACATGGCTGGAGATGAAGATAAACCTGAAAGGCAAGTGAATTTTGAGGAATCACAGCTCTCCAAGCTGGGACACAAAGATGGCCTGCAGAAGGTGTAATACTGTTCAAAGTCAGCTTTGACTACAAATACATGCTTGCATTTGTTACACATGTAATCCCGCTCAAACTCCAGGACTTTCACAAGACTCGTTCGAATCACTGTTCCAGTGACAGATAAAAAGTGTCCAACATCCTTGGTTTTAGGGATGTGCTCCCTCACCAGCTCAGGACAGATAGGCAAACCTGGAAGAGGAAAAAATAACATAATCAATTTACAATTTGGGATCTGACTCTATGGAATATTATTATTGTTAAGTGCCATCGAGTCAGTTCTGATTTATGGTGACACTGAATAGGGTTTTTGAGGTACAGGTGGTGGGTTTGAACTGCCAACCTTGTGGTTCAAGGTGACTTTGTGTTCCAGTGCTTAATCTACAGCACCATTCCAGGACTCCCTATGGAATATATCATTCTTACTCTGGTAGCGTAGTGGTTACGAATCGGGCTGCGAACCTTAAGGTCAGCGGTTCGAAACTACCAGCCGCTCCGCGGGAGAAAGATGAGGCTTTCTACTCCCGTAAAGATTTACACCCTCGGAAACCCTGTACAGGGTCGCTATGGGTCGGACCCGACTCGATGGCACTTAACAACAACAACAACAACATATTCCCTGAGGGTATAAGTACAATTTCTAGGAAAAAAGGGGGCAATCTTTATGTTTTAAGAAAAAATTCAGCTCATTATCCTGATTCAGAAAACAGAAAATAAATTATTTCAATTAACAACTGTCAATGAACTCTTTCTAAAAGCACCTATCTAGATACTATAATAATCAGTACTAAACAAATTACTGATTTTGGTAAAAGGACTACCTCAGTAAAGGGCTACCTCAGTAGGATTTAAATACCCAGACTGTATCATACTCAACAAAGAGCATATTGCTACTTGCTCCACCTAAAAGAAATCACTGCCTCTTGACCCAAACCACAAAGCAGAATAATAAAGAGACGGTAGCATGATTTTCAAAGATTTCCACAATGCTAGAAAGCACACTATTGCTGTTTTATTTAGGTTCTGCATTTATTAATCTACGAGACTGAGTCAAAAATTATCCTCACTCTGGCTATAGAATTTAATCAACTTCTAGGGAAGATAAATCATGTCATTTTTTGACATAATCTCCTTGCTTTTCAAAACACATTGTCCATCTGTTAATAAGCTTTCATATTCCTTATTAAACAATGTTGTAGGCTGAGCTGTGAGCCACAAATACATCACTGTCTTTCCTTCTTCATCAGAGGTGAGTCTTTGTCCTCACTGGGCTGCTTTCATGGGATCAAACAGGTGAGGGTCCGACGAAGCAAGATCAGGACTATAGTGTTGGTAGGTTGGTTATGTGCCGTGGAGTCAGTTCTGACTCATAGCGACCCTGTATAAGGTTTCTGAGGCTATAAATCTTTACGGGAGCAGAAAGCCTCATCTTTCTCCTGCAGAGCCACTGGTAGTTTTGAACTGCTGACCTTGAGGTTAGAAGACTGTTTCATACCCACTACGCTACCAGAGCTCCTTATAGGGAGGATGCTTTAATACATCAAAATGAAGTTTTCTCACACATTGGAATATTATGCTACCTTGAAGAACAACAAGGAAGATGAAGCTTTGAGGACATTATGTTGAGTGAAATTAGTCACAAAAGCAGAAATACTGCATAGGACCACTATTATAAAAGACTAAGAAAAAGAACCCATACTAAAGGGGGACAGGGCGATTCATTGCTGGTTACATGGATGTGGGTGGCGGGGTGAGGGGAGGGAGGGGAAGGTGGAGCACAGGGGAGAGAACAGACACAGGATTGTTTGGGTGCTGGGGAAGGGGCAACACACAAGAAGGGGAAGGGGGATGGAAGAACAAGATGGAGGGGAAAACAAATAGGCAGGTTTACATGGGCTATGTAGGACAGAGGTAAATAATGATGTATGCACAACCTTGGAAAAACAGCGCTCTGGGATACAAGAATTGAGACATGGTTTGAATGGGTAAAAGGGGGAAAATAATGGTAAGATGCTTGGCTGTCTTTTGAATGTTGGTTTCCTTTGTATAACATTATAAAATAGACACTTAAGAGGGAGAGAAAGGAATAGCCAGAAGTATCACCACAGAAAGCTTGTAAGTCCATTTTCTGATTGGAATACCTAAAATGGGGCTACAACATGCCCAGTGAATGAGGCTTCCTGCAAAGCCTCTGCATTTCATAGGACCATGGGTGGAATCCTGTACCCCATCCAGAATCTTCTGAGGTGGGAAATTTCCACTGGAAGGGACAAACAGACCAGTCTGCAGCGGCTAGAAGAACAGAAGGCATTTCTTGAAAGCAAGCCTGACAGGAAAAACACAAACCAATAATGGCAGCCCAAATAACTACTATATGAACAAGCACATTGCTCGCTCAGGAGACATCAAGGCAAGTGGTTGGGTCCCCTCACGGCAAACCCCCTTCCAAGACTAAGACTCAATGGGAATACATGAGCAGACATGCGCTCTGAATGTTGACCATGTTGGTCACCGATAAGGGGAAGTGAGGGGAAAACAGAAATGAAGCTGCAAACTAAGCCCTACCACATGCAATAGACTCCTGTGAACCCAGGTAGAGACCTGGTTGTCCAGCAGTGTGGCAAGACATGGGCATTCCTGGGCACAGAGTCAGTGACATAGCCACAGAGGACTAGAGTGGAGAGTGAAGCGTCCAGCTGGTAAGAAAAGAAGGCATATGCACAAGAACACCCACACTTGCAAGAATACCCACTTGACCTGGCTTCAATGGCTGGATGATCAGAACTCAACTAGAAGAAGGAAGAAGAGGAAAAAAAGATCTGCTAAAATTTTATGAACTTGACCTACACCTATGGATGTAGTAGCTCATAAGAGGGAACAAATCTTTACAGTGAGGATCATTCCCACCCCCTCAATACACAAGGTAGACAGAGCTGGGCAACTTGGACATTGGCTACCCAAAATTGCGGGGGGGTGGGGGGGAGAAATACAAAGGCAAGAAATGATGGCTTACAAGCTTTCAAGAGGGAGCCTAGATCCAGGGGGCACAGAGGAGAGTGGAACAGAGTGGTGTCCAATCTGTCTGGAGGGGCTGATGAAAGGAGATGGGGATAGGTCTCATGTGGAACAATAGTGAATAATTGCTATCAGGACTGACTGTGAAGGTTGGAAATGTAAATCTAGACATTTTGTAGCAAAAGGAGGGGAGTGACTGACTTTGCAGTCCAGGAGTGGAGGTCCCTGGCACCATCAAGGGAGAAGAGCGGAGAACAGGACCCTACCCAGAGAAACAGTGATGCCAGAGGTGGAAGCAGAGACAATGACATGGAGAGATGGAATAGCTGGGGACTCTTGACCCAGAGAGGGAGAGGGGCTGTGTGCTGATGACCGGGGGGTAGGCTTGCAGGGTATACCCTTTGGTTGGCTGATGATGCATGGAGGGGGCTATAACCGTGGCACTGAAACATATACAATAGGATGAATGTAAAGCTAATTTTCTCTCATGTAAACTATCACATAGTTCAAAATAAAGCATTAAAAAAAAAAAAAATGAAGTTTTCTGCAGTGTGTCAACAGTGTGGGCTGAGGTGTGCTGACATGCACTGTCATACAAGATCACAATGTCCTTGGATAGCAGTCCTCTCCAAATAATCAATGTATCCTTCAGCATTTCAGTGAGCATCTCACTGTAAGGAGTACTGTAGTTTGTTAACCTTTTTCCTGATTGTGTTCCAAAACTGGCCATTGAGAATCCCAGAAAACTGTAAGCATCTATTTTCCAGCTGATGGCTGACGTTTGAACTTTTTCTTGGTTGGCTATTGAGGATGTTTCCATTCCATACCCTGCTGTTTACTCTCAGGCTCATAGTGCTAAATCCATGTCTTGTCACCAGTAGCAATTTTTCAAAGAAACTTTTACCTTTCTTTGAGTATCGGTCCAAATTTTGTTTGCAGATGTCCAAATGCTTCTGTTGATGCTCTTTCATGAGTTGTTTTGGTACCTATCTCACACAAAATTTTCAAAATCCAAGTCTGTTGTGAACTATTTCATAGGCAGAGTCATGGCTGATTTGCAAATGATGCATCACATAATCCACTGGCACTCGTCTATTCGACAGAATTATGTCATGTGCATGTTCAATGTTGTCATCAGCTATGGACTGTGGATGGATGTTTTAAAATAACTGGAGAGCAGATAATTTTTAACTCACCCTCGTAAAAATCTGATGGTATTTGCAAGCCTTGAACTAGAGGCTTACCCACAGCATAACTTTACCCCCATCCTTTTTCACCTTTTGCACAGAAAAGGAACACAATGCAAAGAAAATTTATGTACAAAGTCCTCTTTCTCAAGTTCGGCTATGATGCTGTAATTCTGGAGTATAAAGATGCTAGTTGTGATAGTCAAAAGCATGTTTCTTAACAGATTTATATGGTAACACTTGGTAAGTAACGAAATGGATTGGCACAGTGGAAGCAGCAATGGGCTCAAGTATAGAAAGGAATGTGAGAATGGCATAGGACTGGGCAATATTTCGCTCTATTATGCATAAGGTTGCTATGAGTCAGTACTGACTTGACGGCACCTAACAACAATATTAAGCTGGTTCCTGTACCATGAGCCATTATCTTGTCCCTAGAATTTTGTGGCTAAAAACCTGGTAATTGTACACACTGAAGATGGATCTATCAGATTATCGAGCTGATCAAAATTAACCACCATCCATGAAACAGAGTACATAGGAACTGTTGAATTATTTTCTCTGTAAACCTTCAACCAATTCACACACACAAAAAAGTTTAAAAAAGAAAAATAACCATCCTAAATATGAGTATCCTTTAAGTTCCTCTGGCAGCGTATTTTCTCCCTGTCAGTACGCTACTCAGAAAGTGAAATGATAATAATCAGAAGGTAGTTTAGAAGACATGGAACTTACACAACAACAAAACCTAACAAATCAAGCCATGGTATTTTCAGTGACTTCATATGCATGTGAAAGTTGGACACTGAATAATGAATAACTGAATGCTTAACGTATCAGGCTGTTAACACGGTGAATCCTACCACAGAGGGGGACTTGAATTTTCTCTATGGGCCGAACAGGGCTCTCCCTCTCCACTGACAACAGTGATTTCTATGACTCCTTTTGCTCTGCTTCCAATGCTAACTTGCCCACTAACTAATGCATTTA